GTTGCAAAATTAGACCAGAGGACGCAGGGCTGGCACTCCTGCTTGTCAGAAGCGAGCTGGAGCTGAGCAGTGGAGGGCCCTCCTTGCTGCTCCACACCAGAGCTCCAGCTCACTGATGGGCCCTGGAGTTTGGAAGCCTCGCATTAGACCAGTTGCTTCACTCGCTGAAAGAAGAAGCTCAAGCCCAAGGTAACAGAGCTTGTAAACTGCAGAACTAGTCTCTCCAGGCCCAGGGGACAGTGTACAGCATTGCATCCACTCACCTTCCATTCAGGTTCTTATTGACTTGATGCCCAGCCCTGAGGTGGGCATCAAGAACAGTATAAAAGTATTTGTTTTGGAATTGCATACAACCCTTTGATGTTGGCCAATCAAAATGTGCAACTTGGCACTGCTGTGTGAGAAGATCGTTGGTTGTTATTAAGGAGGTGTAACGTGCGCACATATAAAGGTAACACAATGGATTCACTAGAGATTTCTCATGACATGAAGCCCACGCCCCCATCGTGGTCCATGCAGGCAGTTGGTGGCCAGACCTTGGTACAGGAAGCTGGATCTCCATTGGGGCAGTGAAACTGTCATTTGCCTTCTTGTCGTTTCAGTGCCCTTGGAGGCTCCTCAGCCCTTCACATCCCAGCTTTTCCCGGAGGAGGCTGCCTCATTGATTACGTTCCTCAAGTGTGTCACCTGCTCACCAACAAGGTGAGTGTGAATCCCTGACGCCATCTTAAGAGCTTCCTCTCTCTCCTGTGTGCCAGACTCCGAGCCTTCAGGCAGGCCTGTGAGCCTCCTCAGCTCCCACCTTCCTCTCCAGCTCCACAGCACACCTGCCCCTCCCCCTGGAACTGCAGTCCCCTCCCTCCCCCTCCGTCCTTGCCTTCCTTCCCTACAGCTCTCCTGCCCTGTTTCAGCCTTCACTTCATCTCTGAAGCTGAGATCTGGAGGTTTCAGTGCCCTCTTTCCTGAACTGGTTTTTAGCCTTCAGTTGGCTACATCTCCCACCGCCTTTTGGTCGTACATGTTTTAACCTCTCTGTTTCCCAGTTGCCTGGAACATTTGTGTTTGCCCCTGGACGAGGCTATCAGGATACTTCTTTCCAACTCTCTGCTGGTCCCGCACTCCACCGTTTGATAGCGAGCTCGGGATTGTCCCGGTTAATGTCTGGGAGCAGCTTTACGCAGTCTTGCTCTTGGGGGCAAGATTTCCAAGTCTAGCACTCAGGCACATTAGATGGCCTGAAGCCTTTTCTTAGCTACAGTTATAAACTATTGCATTTCAAAAGTAGCTGAGTTTACACGAATGATGAAATGATTAGCCATCCCTGCCCTCTTCTGCCACCCCTCCCCCCTCCCCCCAAAGTAACCATGTACTTGTTTGTTAGTGCCCTGGCCATTTATCTGAACACTAGAGGCATGAATTGACCGGAAAACTAGAGACGTGAATCCACAAGTAACACGGACTCTCTTTCCTCTCCCACATAGACGGTGACTCAGTTTGTTTAATTGCCCAAGTGCTGTTTTCTGTGCTCCTACTGACTTGTTCGCATTGGCTTTTGTTTGTCCCTTTCATTCAAAAGATAGCTCATCGCTATCTTGAAAATATTTTTAAAGTGCAATAATATCTCAAAGGCGTATTATTTTTTAAATGTCAGAGAGACTAAAATCTGGCTGTGGGCCTAGCATTGATTCCAGGGCATTTAATGCTCATGGAGTGGGTGCTGCTCACTGGCTCACTGTCCCCCAGCCTCTGCCCTCGTACAAAACCGATCTGAGGAGAAGAATTCTTATTTACATTCTGGGGCTTTGAGCTGCCTTCAAATCTGCATCCCAGTATTAGAGAGAAAAATGCAACTGTGGTTTTCCCGAACTGAGAAGGAAAGTCTTTTTAAAGCTCTCCAATTGAGATTAATTTCTAGTCATCCATTTTCCTCAAAAATTATCACGCAGTTTTCCCAGAAATACAAGAATCAGTCCGTTTTTCTTATCTGGTTCGCCTTCATTAATTTTGCTTGTCTTTTACAATTGGTTTTTCTTGTGTTTGCTGCAAACGAGGCCAGTATGGGCTGCTTTTAGAAACAATCTCTTCAAATGAATTTCCCTAATTACGTTGGAATCTATCTTTATAGCCAGTTTTGTTGTGGGTTTCTGTTAAAATGCTTTTCTGTTGAGAATCGAGTGTACAGAACTGTTTTCGTCCCCTTAAAACAAAGACACTTAAGCAAACTTCTCATCTGTTTCTCTTTTCCCAAAATAACATTTCTGATCTTGCATTAAGCCTGCAAAGTAAGCGCCGTTTTTATAAATTGCCAGAAGCCTCTCTTATAGAAATAGAACTGCTTTACTTTGAAAGGATACAAATAGCTATCGGTACTGATTGTGGCAAGGTTATCTCAAGCACTTGCTCTTCGTTAGCTTGGAAACTCCATGTGCCTGCACTGTGACTGCAGCCGATCTCAATGGGTTGGGATGGGGGTTCTTCCTTCCATTCTTTCTTTCAACCATTATAAGGACATTTTAAGGGATATTTTTTTTTTGTTAGAAGCTGATGGGTAAATGATTAACTTTCAGATGCCGAGTTTAATGTATTCACAATTTTTTTTTAAACAGAAACTGTCATTTGGTAATAATAAGGAAATTTTAAAAGACAGAATAAAATCCCCTATTATACCACTCCTTATTTTGAATATTAGGAATTTAAAAAGAAAGCATTAAGGATTATTATCCTGCCTTTTCAAGTAGGATTGCAGTTCAAGATAATGAACTAGCCCTGCGTGATGAAAGAAAAGCAGAGACTGCTAGTTACCAAACTCAGAGGGACTGATAGAATTCAAAACTCACCATCTTGCAGCCCTTGATGAAATGTCGCATTCAGCCAAGGATCTCCCCCAAAGACCAAAGCCCTTAGGCTGATGTTGATGGGGACCAAGATGCTCACATGCTTCAAGAGTAAGGTGACCAGATTTTAACACTGGTAAAGCGGGACAAAAGCGGGATACCATTGATAAAACTCATATCCTGGCGAAATAGCCACATGGCAGCCGAAAACCCTATACCCTAGCTTGTCGTGCCTTCTTTCCAAAAATCGGGACTTTTTTAAAACACTGCGGGACGTGGGACAAATGGTTAAAACTCAGGACTGTCCCGCCAAAAGCGGGGCATCTGGTCACCTTATTCAAGAGGTATGCCCATAGGTTATTCACGATAGCAAGGGGAGAAAGTGGAGAGGTCTGGCTGCCACCACCTTAGCCCACTGACCAAACACAGGGCTGCCCATGACCTTTGCTTGCCTACTATTGCTCTTAAACTGAACCACAACTTTTGCTCCAACTTCCAATTTTTTAGGAACACCGAGGATAGAGGAGAAAGGACACCATCAGAGAATCTACAATGTAGATTCTTGTAGAAGAACGTAGTACCTTCTATGAGACATTTGAAGTGTCAGTGTTAGTATGCCTTCTTACTTCATGGAGGCAATCTTATGTTAGGCTTAAAAGGCCTCCAATACAATTAAAACACGGGACCCTTGCTTTTACCCGGCTTCTTTAGAGGAAATTGGGAAAGCCTGAGAATAGACAGATGCGAAACAAATTCAGAGAGTGATTGTTCTGTCTGTTGGGCAAAACCACCGTACTGTGCTTATGTAGGAGAATGGCCTTACTTCTTGGAGAGAGACATGTTGAAGTATTTAGGGGCAAACTGTCAAGATATGCCTAATTAACTTTGAAATGTTTCAGCAAGATTGATTGATGGGTTAACAGATAGGTAGGTAGGTGGCTGCCTGAAACAACGCGGCAAAACATTCATGGGTGTTGAGCATTGGTGGTGGGAATTTGGGTGTTCGTTTTCCTGTTCTTTCTACTTCTTTAAAATTTCCCATAGGAAAATATTGAAGCGTCTACTATTCCACTTCTCAGTTCTGGGCTCCTATTTCAGGTGCAGTATGTGATTCAAGGATATCACAAAAGGAGAGAGTACATCGCTGCCTTCCTCAGTCACTTTGGCACGTAAGTTCTTCTCTTTGTAAACTGCTTCGCCAGCGGTGCCCTCGCTTCACGATGACGTCACTCAGTTCCTGTACACCGTGCCCTCCCAATGCGCGATATATTTTTTTTTAATTCTGTTTTGGGGGTCATTACTATGTTGCTTATATCGAAACTCTAGAAGACATCTTTTTTTTTTAGAATTCATGTAGCAAATAATAGAATCCAGTATCTTCCCTAGATCCACAGCATGACTTGCCCCAAACGCAGCCACAGTAACGTTAAGCATTTTGCAGTTGGCCCAGCCTTCTCACCTCCACCGTCTCACAGCAGCCCTGGGAGATGAATCCAAACCCAACCCAAAGCCCAAGTCAACTCCCATCGAGTCGATTCCAACTCCTGGCCAGATGGACCCAGGCAGGTATTCCTGAAGACATTCCCGGGACTCTGAGAAACTTGGTGACTAGAAGGAGGTCACCCTCCTAGAAGAGGTGGAGTCTGGGCAAGGCTCCTGTTTCTCTAGGGTTCCAGGCTCCCGGCAGGAGGGCCTCACAGATTTGGGAAGGAACTGTAACACGGATAAGGAAACTGTGACACACATGAGATTAGGAAGGAGTTGGGAGACAGCAGGGTGAAGGAAGAAGGAAGTGTGGAGCTGCAGTTACAGACCGGGCATTCCCCCCCCCACCCACCCGCTGCCCTTTCCTCCAGGTGGCCTGGGCGGGGCTCTCCGCTGCAGCTCTGTTTCCTTAGCACACCCACGGATGCTGAGCCTCAGGCGAGTGGTTCACAAGGGAAGGGAATGCCTTTGCCTCAGTCTTTGTGAACAGGTGGAACGTGCGACCCATGTGGGAACAAGGCATGGTATTTAGTAGTAGTTACAGGAGGGGTTTTAGTGGTTGACTCACATCCCACCTTATTCCAAAGACGGATTGTAAGTATGCACATACGTATAGGACCACATAGACATTTTAAGTAAAAGGAGAAACTAAGATCAAAGGGCCACTGGTGGCTCCATGGGTTACCCGTTGGGCTGCTGGCTGCAAGGTCAGCAGAAGGAAACCACCAGCTGTTCTGTGGGAGGAGGATGAAGACTCCCGCTGCCATCAAGCGCAGTCTCGGAAACCCACGGGGCAGTGCCACCTAGCCTACTGGGTTGCCGTGAGTCAGCATCGACTCAGGGGCAGTGGATGTGAAAATAAAGGAAAGCAGGAATAAAATTAAATTAGCAAGATTAAGCACTCCTTGAAAATTAATTTCACAAACTGTCACATAAATATAAGTAAAAATTATGACTTCTCAAAACAATTTCCGGATATTTTATTGTCACCTTTAATGGAATTGTTCTTTCATGCTACCAAAATAGTAGTGTTAACAAACAGTATCACTATCTCTGGCATGAGTCTTCACTCTGAAAAGTTCTCTGTGTGTGTGTGTGTGTGTGTGTGTGTGTGTTTAATTACCATTTTGAGAAAGTACTTGTACTAAGAATGATGGTTGCTGAGTGATAACCATTTGGTCTTTTAATTTTTGAGTGAGATTACCATCAGAATCGATAACTCTGAAGTTAGAACTTAAGTTAGAAAACAAAGAAGCAAGCACAGTGACCTCCAAAACAGGGGTTACACCATTCACTCCATTGGGCACAAGAAAATACTAAAATTTCATTTACGTTGATATTTTTATTCCTGTTTTGTTCAGCCAAACAATAGAAAGCTCATTAAGGAGAATAACAGTGTGGTGTAGTATGCATATCTTAAGCTATTCAGTCATTTAAAATAAAAAAGCATCTTTTACTGAAAGTCCTGAGATTTAAGACAGAAAGCTCAATGGAAACAGGAGGCATAGGGGGACGTGGGCCAAGTGAGGAGGTGATTGCAGCGGTCACAGTGGAAGAGATGAAAGAAACTGTGCGTGATGATCTGCCCTCCGAGCCTTCTCCCAACTCATAGTGAGTTTCCTTTGCGTTGTACGTTTGGGTATGTTCCCATTAGACTTATGGTGCAGTCATGCTGTCAGTAGTTTAGTCGATTCCAAGTGCTGGCGCCCCGTGTGCAGAGTCCTACCGCTCCATAAGGGTTTCAGGGTTTGACATATCAGAATCAGGCTCCCAGACTGGTCTTCTGAGACCTCTCTGGGTGGGTTCAGTCTGCCAACTTTCTGTTGAGTAGCTAAGCACTTAACTCTTTGCGTTTCACAACTGCATAGAGTAGCACTTGTGTGTCACTACTACTAGATTATGCACTTGCTACTCTGTCACGCTAGTATATGCGTAATGAAAAAGAGTGTGGTTGGTTTTGCTAAAGGGATGGATGCAGAATCTAAAAAATCTAGGTATTAGTATGGTAACATTGTGTCGATTGTATATTCAAAGAAATATAAACTAGTGACTGAAATCATTGCCTTAAGTCAGAAGAAATGTATTGTAAACCAACTCTCTTTGAGCAAATCACTTAGTCTTCATTGTCTTAATTATTTTATCAGTACCACTGTACTTTCTTACGTAAACTGGGAGGTCATCAATACCAATTGGTCAGACTTGTCCAAGAAGGCAGCTCTAAGAGCATCAAAGATCTCTTGGTACTGAAAAACCAAACCCAACCCGATGCCATTAAGTTGATCACAACTCACAAGAAGCTGCCAGATTAGACAAGGTAGGACAGGTTTCCAACACAGCCCATCTTAATGGAAAGTAGACCACCAGCTGGTGGGTCTGAACCACCAACCTTTTTGTTAGCAGCTGGCTGCTTAACGACTGCCATCAGGGCTCCCACTTTGTATGGAAGAGAGAGACAATAACTCTCATCATCCTGGCATCGTTAGTGTTTTCACATGAGGTGGCAGCCCGCTGAGAGTAGTGGTTGAGGTGAGTCTACCAGATCCAGCCTGGCCCCGCCAGCCATCATCAGATGTTGTCTCTGAACACATGCGCTGTGGTCTCCTGTGTGAACCAGCTCTCACCCAGCTAGCATTGCTACTTAGTCTTGAGCCCAGTGAACAGAGAGGGACACCAATGACAGGATTCCAGGGACTGCCTGGAAGAAAAGTAAGAGGCAGCTTCTTAGAGGGAAAAAAATCCGTTATCCTTCCATTTCCTTTTTCCATGAATGTTTTAAAAAACATCCTCTTATGTAATCCTAAACTCAGTGGTATTGTTGTTGCTTTTTTATGCTTGTGTTGTAGTGCCCAGGGCAAGTGAGATCAAATGATCACCGTGCAGACCAGGTGGTGGCATCTGGCATGACAGCGTCATTGCTGACCAAACATCTTAATTTCTCCATTAACCAGTGCCTAACAACTGACCCCTGCGTAGCATTTTATGATTGATTCTTCACAACCCTGTACTGGAATTCACATTATTATCCTACATTTTCTACAGCTCAGGAAACTGAGGCTTCAAAGATTAAGTCATTTACCTGCGATTATAATCGATAATAAATGGCAAAACTGTGCCCAGAAATGACTTGTTCTCATTCCAGACCCCACACCCTCCCTGATCCAGCAACTCACTCACATTTTGCATTTTAATTGGAATAATTCTGACTTGATTAATAGGTTCTTCACTTGACCCCAACTTTTTAACACTTTTGCTTTTGTTTTGTTTGTGTGTGTATGTGTGTTGCTTACTTAGAGGTGTCGTGGAATATGATGCAGAAGGCTTTACAAAACTCACTCTGCTGCTGATGTGGAAGGATTTTTGTTTTCTTGTGCACAGTGAGTACACTTTCGCTTTCAGCATGTATGTTTTCAATGTCTGAACCACAGGTTGTAACAAGGATGAGAATCATCGGTGTCCTGAGTCAGTTCTCTTTACGTGAGCATACGTGGATATCTTTGGATGTGATCTAAAAGAGACAATAACTCTAGCCCAGCGGTTCTCAACTGGGGATGATTTGACACCCAGGGGACATTTGACAATGTGGAGACTCTTTTGATTTTTAGTGGCATATAGTGGGTAGAGGTGAGGAAAGCTGTGAATCCTTCAGTTCATAGGACAGCTTCCTCCTCCACCCCGACCCACCCCCCATCCTCCCTCCGCCCCCGACCATCACAAAGTATTATCTGATCCAAAATATCAGTCATGCCAAAGGTGAGAAACTGTGCCTTAGGATGGTTTCTGTTTCACAGCATCTTTCCAGAAGTGGGTCTCAGAGCTGCCATGATTATTGAGAACGTACTTGCTGTAATCATTTGGTTGTCATCTTATTAAATAAGAAATCTGGTGTGAGTGGCGATCCTGGGACTGAAGAGGGAGCGTGGGTTGGAAAGGGGGAACCAATTACAAGGATCTACATGTGACCTCTTCCCTGGGGGACGGATAAGAGAAAAGTGGGTGAAGGGAGACGTCGGACAGGGCAAGATATGACAAAATAACAATTTATAAACTATCAAGGGCTCATGAAGGAGGGGGGAGCGGGGAGGGAGGGGAAAAAATGAGGACCTGATGCTGGGGGCTTAAGTGGAGAGCAAATGTTTTGAGAATGATGAGGGCAATGAATGTACAAATGTGCTTTACCCAATTGATGTATGTATGGATTGTGATAAGAGTTGTATGAGCCCTAATAAAACGATAACAATTAGAAAAAAGAAATCTGTACATGAAATGCGTAAAGGTAGGGCACATCACTTTCACTGATTTTTCCACTGTATTCCAACGCTGTTATTGAACAATAGATGATTCCTCCTGAGGGGTCATTCAGAGTATCTTTCGTTTATTTCCTTCTTCTACAACACGTCATTTGTGGCACCAGGTTCAAGTTGCAAGTCACCTACGACCTTGTTGTTTAGGAGCTGGCTCTTCAGTCAGAGGAGTTCCCGTTTTCCCACTCGCTCGAGGTAGCTAGGTTTGGGTTGGCTTCAATATGCAGAGCGATCTTGCTCTTTTAATAAACTGGTTCAGGAAATGAAGCTTTGATTGTCTCCTATTCAGCCAAGGCATCAGATCCTCAGAAAATATTGGCCGTGGGAGACTTTTCTTCCCCAGCAGACTCAACGTTCTTGGTTCTGATTTCCATAGGCTAAAATAGTATTTAAATTAGCCTGTTTGACTGTAATTCACATCAACAGATAAGGAAGAAAGATGCCCCAAACTGTCTATAGTGGCAGAGAGAAGAAAGGTGTAATTAAAACCCCACCATGGTATCGTGCTCATAGAGAGGATTGAGAGCCGGCTCCACATTTCAGGCCTGGGGCCTCCCTGCCCTCTGGGTGTTACCCAACTATTGCTGTTTTGTAAAGCAGGGCCTCGTGTTGAGCTCCTGTTTGGTAGCTATGCATACATTAGGGCCACCTTTTCAAATGTATCTGAAAAATGCAAACATATCACTTTATATTAATTATGTAAACCAATAAACAGAGGGTTGGCGAGGTAAAGATTTTAATCCTGGGTGTGCCTCTGACTAATTCTGTGACCTTGTTCCAGTGTCTGGGACAAGCCTCCCTCTGCTTTCCTTTCCTCACCTGGCACTGGGATGTGGTTGTCAGGTCCTGGAGAGGCGGTGGCACGTGGAGCATCTGCAATATGTGGCCAGTGGGGAGAAGAAGCCTCACAATGAAGGCATCGGGGTCACCTCCTCTTTGCTCACAGCCTCTATGGCCCTGCTGATGGAAGCCCAAGCCTGGCGCTCCCAGCCATCACTCAGGGTCCTGACTTGCTGTGTCGCCGCGCTGGTTTTCTATTCTGAGTCTTCATTCTTTTGCGAGGGCCCACGTCCTGTTTGCCACATTCATTCCACCCGCTGCCTTGACCTCCCTGCTTCCGTGCCTGGTCTGATAAGCCAATCACAAATCCTGACTGCACCCTTGATTTATCTTGCATGAGCCCAGACAATTGCCGTGTGTGATTCTCCGGGCCTAGCTCAGCATGCTGCCTTGAGCGGTGGTGCCAATGTCACCAAGTGGCCCTGGCCATCCCCATCCAAAGAACAACACTGGTAACGTAATGTACCCAAACATGACATGAGATGGGCGCCTTACTTCAAAATGACAGGAAACCTGGACTCTTCCCTGAAACTGCCTTTGGTGTCCTGACCCTGGGCCTGTCTTCAGTCAAGGTCAGACCGTATCAAATATCCCAGGAGCCTCCCTTGTTGGTACGGTTGGGTCTTCACCTGCACTTTCCGCTTGTGACTCCGGGATGGCCCTTCTGGTGGCAGACAGCCGGGGAGGTTGTCACGTGGAGTGATGGTCACAGATCAAAGAGCATGCACATCTCAGAATCGCAGCTAGCTCCTGCCAACTCGTATCAGCGCATTCGGTGTGATGACAATTCATGTTGCTTTTGAAAAATCGGTCCCCCACAGAATCTTGTCTCCATGGTGTCTTATGTTCCTCCCCCGCTTTAACAAGTCAGACCGGCAAAACTGAATCCCACCGTTTTCTTTTCCATTAGTTTGGGGTTACTCCCTTCAGAAACATGGACAATACCCCCAGGCCCTCTTTAGAACAGCTCAAGGGACCTCGGGACTGGTCTGATACACTTTTTCCCAGAATGTTTCCTCGGGCTGTTATTCCTTCCCACCCCTCCCCAGGCTGTTGGCTCCTGGTCTGTTAGTAGCTTTGCCCACACTCTCATCACTTCTGGTAGGTGAGACCTAATCAAGGAAGCCAGGAGCTTTGGGTCACTCGCCCCTCCATCACGAACTCACAGCTTGTCTGTAGAGGAATTATTCCTGCCCTCTTGCTGCCTCCTTAGATCAAACATAGGACTTGCTGCACCGGAGCAAATCACTGTATTTGATTCAGTCACACTATGAAGCATTGGACACCTCCCTGCCTCTGGGAACATGTTCTTGCTTAGTTACCCAAGGAACTAAGGAAACATGTGTCCCCTTTTTTCTTTACATGAAAACAAGGTATTTAATATCGAGGGGCAGAGACTCGATGATAGAGCATCCAAACAGAGAAAGGAAGTGCCTGGAGATGAAACCAGTCCTCTTGGTGGTTCCACGCCTGCCTGGAGGTTGAAGGCCCAGCAGGACACAATGCAGCATCTCTTTGCTGCCCTCCCACTCCCTTCTTGGGAAGACCTCCATGGATAAGACAGGTGCCAGCAATCATTTCGAGCCTCTGAGATGCTTGAGGAAAGAAGCACTTCTCTCCTGAGACAGACAGCTCTGACCTCAGACATTGCGGGAGGGTGCCAAAGCAAGGGTGCCCCAGAGGAAGACCTTGAGCATATCCTTGGGCCTCTCGGGAGATTCTGCAACATCCTGGCTTTCTGCTTGTTCCAGAGGCAGGAGGCAGGGGTGTGGCCATGGGACTTTCCATCCATGTCTGTGTTCTTCCCACCCTCCCTTCTTTCCTTCAGCATCCATTATCAGCATGTCTTGAGACTTGAAGTTTCTACAGGATGAGGGACTTGCACTAAGCCAGAAACCTTTCTGAGAAGGTGTCCTGGCCGACAACTAAGAAGTATTCAGAGTGGTTGTGTACGTTATTCCCTATTTGCCAAGTCGACTTTTACCCCTGGAAGTAGATGTTATCTTTAAGCCGGAGGCTTTTGCGAATGTGCTCAGGGCAGGAAGACCAGCGAGCAGGGCACAGAAGCACACAACAAATGGCCAGATCTTTGCCGTGGCCCCAGTCAGCTGCACTGCAAATAGACCCAAGAGGAGGCAGCTGCCTAGGGTGCAGGGTTGCTGCTTGGGGGTGGGGGAGGAGAATAGAAATCTATGCCTTCCCAGGTAATGGGAAGCGATTCTGTCATTGTGTGAGACGCTGTCTTTACAACATAATCTGCAAAATGACCCTTGAAGACACTGTCACCCACCCAGCATCATAGTTCTGTCCCGCTTGTAAAGGAGACTCAGTCCGACCATTTTGCCTGCTCCTTTTCACTTTTTCCCTGACCCCCACCCCATCCGCCCACATTAACTGAGTTACCGAGCACCTACTACATGATCTGTACTGTGTTCGGTACTAGGGAATAAAGTAAGTAACTCAGGCTTGACCTTAAGGTGCAGACAGTCTACCACTCACTCACTCACTCACCCACCCACTCATTCACTCACTCACCCATGGACTCACTCACTCACTCACTCACTCA